TGACAAGAAAGACGGTATTCAGCATGACATGTATATTAAAACGTGGTTCACGTAGCGTAAAGAAAAATTCACGTTTCAAAATGTCCTCGAAGGGTGAATGATCACCAACTGAAAGTAGCAGATTCTCTATTCTAAATCCTGAAACAAAACAAAACAAACAGTCTTGCTCACTCTGTCTTCCTTGCTTGGTTAATTAATTTTGTTACTATCCAATCATTTGTTCTTTGTGAGGGCAAATGAAGTGTCCTGGATATCGATTAGATTACCTGGAAATTGTAGGTTTTTGGTAAATAGACATAGAGCAATCCTCAGCCGTGTAGTCTTTGTTACAAACACAGGAACCATTGACACATTTACCATTAAACGTGCAGTCATTGGGACATAATAGTTCAGCCACTTCTGCTACCAAGGTATCAACGCTGGCGGTCTCTTCGCTGGTGTAATTTGCAAGCGCGGACAGATTTCTGGCTCCCAGTTCTCCACATTCGCTCATCAGTAAAGCCACACTTCCAGTTGCAAAAGAGAAGTCTCCTGTGAGCTTTGGGAAAAAAGAGTAAAACAAAAGAAAAATCACCAATAAATATACCATAACTGCGCCTTTCCGTACCATATGAATTCTGAGGGTTGAAACGTTACCGACGTTTCATTTCAATTTGAATTCAATTATTACAGCAGACGTATCCTGGAAGAAACTCTTAGACTCAAGAAGACATGCCCGTAGGTGACGATCTATTTTTGTTTGTCTGTTTGTTAATTAACGTTGAATTCGTTGCTTTCATCATGCATACGATTAACCCAGTACTAGTGTAAAACAGAATTAGTATTCGAACCCTGGGGCGGGTTGTTCAAAGCCTGATTAAGCTAACCCAGGATTAGCGAGAATTTTGATTTGAGTTTTGCAAGTCTTCGGTGAGGTTTTCTGTTTATATTATTTGTCCATTAGTGTTGAATTTGAATAATCTCAAACCATAGAAAACATTCGCAGTGTAAAACATTTATATCCAAGAAAAATTTATACTTCAGTTAAATTTTAATTCTGGGTTAGCGTTAACCGGCTTTCGAACAACCCGGCCCTGAATTACAAAGTATACTTAGAGGTGGTATTGTATATAGGTTTCTGAGTCTCAGGAATATGATGAAATAACGAAGTTTGGTAGCATTAAATCTTGGTAAGTGATTTAACTACATTTTTTAACGTGAAAACGCCTTTTGAAGGTAGGCTACATATATTTTGGAAAGCAGAATAAATATTCGGCCATGCTTTATGAGGTATCTCTTAAATGAGT